CACACACACACACACACACACACACACACACAAGAAATGTGGACTCCACTGTTATTGTTGCCCACTGCTTAAAAGGTGAAGGCGGGCAATAATGTTTTTGCCTGAATCTGTGGGTAACAGACAGACATCTGTTAGCAAAATATCTCATGAACCAGGGAACACATTTTATTGAAACTCAGAGAAATTAATTATTAGATGCATCTGCACAAATGAACATCTATTGGATTCAACACAACTCAAGTTGCCTGCTACAGCTGATTAACTTTAAAACATACAAAACGGTCTATATCTCAGTCAGTTTTACAGATATTGAACTGAGATTTGGTTTGGTAGTAGCTGAGAGTGAGCCCCAACAAAGGTTTTAAGTGTAACAGGTTTCATAAGATGTTCGTTAAAATATTTCCATTAGCTTATTAGAGTCAATTTTGTTTATCTGTTAGCAAAATATCTAACAAACCACTAAATAGATTTTGATGAAACAATCAGTGAGTAATCACTGGATGTAAATCTACAACTGATTAACTTTTGAGWTCTGTTCAATTCAAGATGTCCACCACAGCTGGCTGAAATTAGCCAACACAAAAATAGCTGCAACTCAGTCAGTTTAGCAGTTATGAAGCTAAAATGTGGTGTGGTAGTAGCTGAGAGTGATCCCCAACACATAGTACATCTTGATGACTTTCTGCAATTTACACAAGGTTAAACATAATATTTTCAATGTTTGACCAAAACAATAACTCAATTCTTTTGCCCCATTGGATGATTTTAGTTTAAAACTTTGGCATGAGCAACCAGCCAAAGAGAGAGGGGGTTGCCATCCCTGAAAGATTATTACAACACAGTGCAGCTCAAGAAATTGTGAATTGGTGTGACCCATCATATGAGGCCTGGTTGAGAAATATTGAGAAAGAAATATGTTCTTTTCCAAAACAAGCAACCTTAGTGGACACGCAAATCCAGAACCATATAGAAGCAGCTAAGAATCCGTGCGTAGAATGTACTTTTAAAATATGGAAAACTTTTCTGAAAAAAATATAACCTAGAACAAGACTTTATAATTTTCAAATGGTCCACTTTAAATTCTGATTTCTCACCCAAAAAATATGACTCTCATTTTAAGCTCTGGACATCAAAGGGATTAACAGTTTTGTACAAAATGTTTAATAAGGGTATATTGCTTAGTTTTGAATCACTCAAAAGAGAATACTTTTTAGAAAGTCAAGATTTCCGCAGATTTCTACAGTTAAGACATTAAATTGACACTAAAATARGAAATCAAATAACTCATGGAACAGGTTAAAAAGGCATATGATGGTAGGATTGGTAAAGGTGACATCTCTTTATTGTATAAATGTTTGGTGAATACTTAATTTCATTCAACATCGTATGTGAAGGCGTTGTGGGAGAAAGAGGGACGGTTTCATTTATCAGAGGAASAACGGACATCAGTCTGGAAAGCACAATGGAAATGTACAAATTCATTACAGTGGAGAGAGTTTGCTTAGAAAACAGTAATAATGTACTTTATCCATGCCAAAAATCAGGCTATGCTCAGGCCCTACCTACCTGCTAGAGAAACTGTGGAAACCAACGTGCAAATCACTTTCACATTCTGTGGGACTGCCCACTTCTAAAACTTTACTGCACAGAAAACCAAGCTGCTTTACAGGACAGTTTTAAGGTTTCCCATTTGGAATAAAGTCTGTGTACTTTGGACAGATACCACAGGACTGGGAAAAGGACAAACATGGAATATCTAGCAAAAAGACTAAGAAATGGCTAACACTAGAGAAGCCAACCTTGATGGTTTGGACAGAAGTGACAATGGACGTTTACAGAATGGAGAAGATTTCGGCCGTYGTAAACCACAAATTAGATTTGTTTGACTTACACTGGGAAATATGGGTTCAATATAAGACAAGCCAGAGGCCCAGTGTAGTAATGTAATGACTATAATGTAGTTTCTACTTCACCCCCAAGGGTTCTGTTAAGATAACTTTGGTTTTGCACTGRTGTTAAAATTTATGCTGTGTACTTATGCAATATGTTCATCAGTGATTCTGTAAAATAAATAAATAAATAAATAAAACCTCTGGTATGAAAGGCAACGGGTGATATGCATTCTGTCAAGGAATTTTAGGTRTTTAATTTAACATGCTTCTTAGAGATAACACAAAGCTGGTATCAGATAATTATTAATATTTATGTTATCATCCTGTTTATCAGCTGCTGATAACGTTTCCAGAAAGATTATTGGGTTTCTCAGTATTTATCTAACTGGATGACGGTAATAAATTTATTAAATTCACACAAATTACTCTTACTATGAAGGATTTTACACACTGATGAGATTTCTTAAGTTATTCTCCTTTGCCGACTTTAAGGCTTGTTCAGGTTTACTTTAAAGACAAATAAACATGCACATATAAACCTGGATGCCCTCCTCCCCCTCCCGAGAGGCATCTTGATTTGTGGGACACACTGGCAGCCCGAGCACAATCATATCTGGAAGATTTCATATTGGAAAAAGATGGTGGAGGAGACAAACAAAGCAAAGAGATTCTTTTTTTTTTATGTTTCTTCCTTGTTTGGGTCGAGAGCCGAGTTGTTTGTTTTACGTCGTGGGGACGCCAACATCTCAAATAAATCATGGGCGACGCAGAAAGAAGAAGGTGAAAGACGCAAAACACAAGAGAATGGGACCGTTAAACAACAGGAAATGTGATAGATCAGAAATCAACAAGCGGCTTCACATTGCTGGTTTTGAGTCACAGAGTGATATTTCTATCCACTGAGTCAGGGCCAAGTGTGTGTTCGTGTGTGTTCGTGTGTGTGTGTGTGTGTGTGTAAGAGTGACACCACTGTAATATAGGTGTTGAACTAAGGTCTGGGTCAGTAATATTGATCAAAAGGCCCCTGCAGCTGACAACACCTCTGCCTTTAATGAAGTTTTCCCTTAATTTCATCTAAAGAAAAAAGAGCGTTGGGGCTGGCCGAGTGGAGGAGCAAGAAGGAGGTAGAGTTCTCTCTCTCTCTCTCTCTCTGTTTCCCACAGAGCCACCTCGTAAAAGTGACACGCTGCTGATGAATATGGGCGTCAGCGGGCGCTCTGGGCCCTGGGTGGGCCCTCACATCTGTGCTGGATGATGAGGGATCCTCTCATGAAGTGCAGCAGCGGTAAAACCTGCTGCTAAAAGGAACAGACAACACAATCCTCAGGGTTCTCACATACGTTTTCTCCTCCACCTGTCACTGAGCCGCAGTGACACTACTAGGACCTCCATATGTTTTTAGTAATAATGTATCTGTACCAGGAAAAAAAGAAAAAAAATATAGAAATGTACACAATAAATGCTTCTGCTGAATTGTACATTTTTATTCAGTTAAAAATCTAATTATTGAAGAAACTTGAGTTTAAACATCCGGTGGATTAAAATAAATTATCCTATCATCTGATTTAAATAACCAAACTGATCATACATTATGTTAAATTTATCATTTTTTATTAATTGGCTGTAAAAGCGTATAGTAGTAAATAAAAATTGTCTAAACTGAACAAAACTGAATAAAACTGAACTTAGATTCTTTTTTATTACAATAAAAATAATTTAACATTTTTTGTGATTTTTCATATTAAATAATTTAAATTAAATAATAGTACTATATGTACTAGTAAATCAGCATACTATCATAAAATAGTTAATAATAACAAATTAAAGAACTGAAATAATTAATAAAATATTTGTTTAAATTTAGTTTTACTGTGTTTTTGTTTGTTTGTTTTGCTCATTGAATATTTGAACTTTTATTA